CTATCTCATCCTAAATGATCTCTTAAATGAAAACTAGTAGCTACCAGGATCTGTAAATCCTTAGGGAGCACATACTGATTATTTGGTTCCACCCACAATCCTGTTTGCTGGTTTTATCTGACATCCTTCAGCTTTCCATTGATCTTGTTCAGAGGAAGGAGCAGCTTTTTGATGTAATGACAGACTATGCCATTTTACTTCCCCCCTTTCCTGGATCCTTGATCCGAGGTTGAGGTAAGGGAGTATTTTGTCCATTATAACAAGTCTGGCATTGATCCCATCCAAAAAACAAGTACGGGGGTATAGCTTTTATTTTCAGTTCCTCCAGCCATTGGCACTTATCTAAATTCTGACACTAGCCCACTTAGATAATGGGCTGCTGCCTTAAAATTGCCCCAGAAACTTTGATCTAGAAAGGCAATAAGATCTTCCTCCCATACAGATTCAATTTCAAATAAACAAGTTAATAATAATATTAGATAGAGACTTTGAGATATTACTGGTCGGTTTCCAGGCTCCATCCCTAATTGGGTGGTGGTGTCTAGATAACACTCTCTTGAGACCCCACTAAGTACCTCTTCTTCTGGAGCTAACTGCTGATGTTGTTTTATTATTTGAAAACGTGGGTAAGTTATGAATGGTGATTGAGGGTTAACAGGAGGAAGGGGAAGACCTCTAATTCTTCAGTCTTGAATTTTTGGGAAGCCTGTGCTAATTTCCTTAAAATTAGTTGAGCTCCTATTTTGCTTAGTTGTTGAGACTAAATATTGCTGAATGGGGGTCTGAGCAACCAGTTTAGCAGCTTTGTCAGCCAATCTATTTCTCTTTACTTCCTCTGTTTAGGGGCCCCGTTTGGGTTGATGAGCTTGTATTTTTATTACTGCTATTTCAGAAGGTAATAAAGTAGCTTCCAGCAAATAGGCCACTAAAGTACCATTCTTTATGGGTTTTCCTGAGGAAGTTAAAAATCCCATCTGTTTCCATAACATCCAAAATAAAAAATTATTCCATAAGACTATCGAGAATCCGTGTATATATTTACCACCTGGGCTTGTGCCAACTTACATGCTCTCGTTAAGGCTATAAGCTCAGCTTGTTGGGCGGAGGTTACCTCAGGCAAGGGTCCATTTTCCAATACATCTACTGCAGTAGTGACAGTGTATCCTCCTTGATACCTAGAACCAGAAGCTACAGGTTTTAGGTAGGAGCCATCTACAAACAGCACAAGTGAAGGGTTGGAGAGTGGAATTTCTTGCAATATATTCTAGGAGATAAAGTTGATCTGTTAAATCAAAACAGTCATGATCAATGTCATTATCATTGGGATCAGACGTAAGGGTACCTGGATTTAAGTCCCCACTGGTGTGTTATCTAAGATTAGGGGTACCTAGAAAGAAAGCTTCGTATGAAGTTAGCCAGCAGAAAGGTGTTGGGTTAGAGCAGAATTTGAGATGGCAGAAACTGCATGTAGAACATATACATCTAGATTACTTCCCAATACTGCGTCAGCTATTGTTTCTACTAATTTGGCAGTGGCTGCAACCCCTGGAAGACATGGAAGATAAGTTCCGGCTACTGAATCTAATTGTATACTGTAGTACCCTAAAGGTCTCTGTCTGTCTCCATACTTCTGAGTTAAGACTCCTAAGGCATTCCCTTGTCTTTCAGAAAGGAAAAGAGAGAAATCAAAAGAATAGTTAGGGAATCCAAGAGCTGGAGTGTGAGTTAGAGATTCTTTTAATTTAGTTATAGCTTGCACAGCTTCCATAGACAGCTTGAAAGGTTCAGAGATATTACCCTTAAGATATACATAAAGAGGTTGTGCTAATAGAGAGAAATTTAGTATCCAAGCTCTATGATATCCGCACAATCCTGAAAATCCCCTAAACTGTTTCTTTATCATAGGTATAGGGTAGGAAAAGATAGCTTCTTTTCATTTTGGGTCAATTGAGATTCCTTCGGCTGGTATTAAATACCAAAGTATTTTACTTGTAGGACAAACTATAATTTTTCCCTGGATGCCTTATGCCCTCTAACAGCCAGATGATGTAATAACAGAAGACTATCCTGCATATTAGGAAACCCTGGTGGCATAGTGGTTAAGTGCTACAGCTGCTAACCAAAAGGTTGGCAGTTCGAATCCACCAGGTGCTCCTTGAAAACTCTATGGGGCAGTTCTACTCTGTCCTATAGGGGCTCTATGAGTCAGAATTAACTTGACGACAACAGGTTTTTTTTTTTTTTTTTTTATCCTTTATGTTTGCTTTCTTAGTGTTAGAACAGACTAAGAGATCATTAACATACTGGAATAACACAGATTTATGTTCAAACTATAAAGGCAACAAGTCAGCATGTAAAATCTGGGAAAAGTAGATGGGGCTCTCAGTGAACCCTTGGGGCATGACGGTCCAAGAATATTGTTGATTATCCCATGTAAAGGTAAACAAAAATTGGCTGTCTGGATGACATGGAATACTGGAAAGAAAAAAAAAAAAAAAACACTATACAGGTCAATGACCATAAACCATGCAGTATCTGGTAAAATCTGGGCTAATAGCAAATATGGATTTGGAACAACAGGGGTTTGAGGGATAAAAATGTGGTTAATAGCTCTAAGATCTTGTACATATCACCAACCGTGGTTATTAGGTTTTCTGACAGGAAATACTGGGATATTACAAGAGCTAGTACATAGAACAATGAACCTCTTTTCTAAAAAATCTTGGATGATAGGTTTCAGTCCTTCCTTTGCTTCAGGTTTGAAAGGGTATTGAGCTACTTTAGATAAGGGCTTAGTGGGGTCTATTTGGACTTTAATAGGTTCAGCCAATAGAATGCAGATGACATCAGTCAACAAGGAAGTCCATAGCTGCAATGGTATTTGATTAAGAATTTGAGTCTCTTTTTCTAGGGGCAGGGTGTCCTTGCCCTCCAGTACCAAAAGACCTTGTAATAAAGAGTTTCTTCTGTCTCAGGCATCTGGGTATTATCTTCATTTTCAGCGTCAGGGAAATTGAGTAATATATCCCCTGTGTCTGTACACTGAATATGGCATTTCCATTTGGAAAGAAAGTCACGCCCTAACAAATTTACAGGAGTACCATCACTTAGTAATGGGTTGGAATTCGTTGGAAACCCCTATGACACAAGAAGTCTGGGTACTCTGGGGAAGAGGCCTTTGCAAACTCGTAGGTTGATTGCCGAGAGTGTCACATCCATGTCTACAAGGAAGGTACAAGGCTCCCCATTTACTTGGAGCATTGTTTCTCCCCATTGGGACAAGGGGACTACTGCCAAAGCCTCTGCTCCCCAGAGCATTGTCACATTGATTTTTCTAAAAGCGGCGCTGAAGGAGTCCCCTTTTGTTTATTCTTAAGCTTAAAACGATCCATTTTAGTGACCAGGTTTCTTGCAATAGTTACAGACCGTGGGAGCAGTATTATTGGTGGGAGAATTCCCTTGCTTTGGCTTTACTCCCACAGGTTTCGTTAATTGCTGCAATTGGAGAGCCATTATTCTTCTTTGTTTTCTTTGTTTTTTTTCTCAGCCTCTTTCTTTTGCTGTTCCATAGTTTGGTTTAATTTATAGGCTAAAGTGGCTAATTCGGAAGTATCAGTACTTTCCCAATTTAATTGATGCCTTGTAAACACTTTCAAAACAGATTTTTTTCTTGATTATAAAATTAATACATGCCCATTGTAGAAATTTCTTAAAAGACATTTATCTTAGACCAAAAATATCCCCTGAAGTCTTCTTAAAACCAAACAATAGTTTAGCTTAACTAGTAAAGAATGTCTGCCTTGAACGTTGTGCTCTTTTAAGAACTATCTGTATGGGATCAAATTGAGAACAGCAACTCGAAGGATTAGATAGGAATCTCAGGGGGCAGTGAGTTTATATTAACGGGGGAGGAACAACTCAGAAAAGGAGGATGGGAATGGTTGCCCAACTTGAATGGAATCAATGTCACTGAATTGTACATGTAGAAATTATTGAATTGGGGTATGTTTTGCTGTGTATGTTCTCAACAACAACAAAATAAGTAAAATTTAGAAAAAAAGACCAAACCCCCTGCCGTTGAGTTGATTCCTACTCATAGCGACCCTACAGGACAGAGTAGAACTGCCCTATTGGGTTACCAAGACTGTAATCTTTATGGAAGCACACTGCCACATCTTTGTCTTGCAGAGCCGCTGGTGGGTTCAAACCACCAAGCTTTTGGTTAGCAGCTGAGTGTTTTAACTACAGCACCACCAGGGCTCTTAGGGAAAAAAAAAAAGACAGGCAATTATAAAAAAGAAAATAAAATCATGACTTAACACTTTGATGAATTACCATTTAGTCATTTTTATATTCATTTTAACATTTTTCACCTTGCTTTTTTTACTTAAACATTTTAATATGATCATTTTCCTTATGTAAATATAAACTCTTTGTAAACATCATTTTAATAGTTACCTTTTGTCGAAGTAGATCGTGTATTATCATTTACTTAATATTCCTATTGTTGGGCATTTCTTACTTCTAACATTTACCATAATGCTGTGATGAACATCTTTGTGTAGAAAACTTCCCCCTCCCCTCCCCATGTTTCAAGTTATTTCCTTAGGCTAGAGCCCTACCAGTTGGCATATGGAATCAGAAGGAAAAAAATTTTAGAGCTCTTAATGCATAATGTCAAATCGCCTTCTAGGAAGTTCATACCAGTTTACAATTCCATCAGCAGTGGGTGAGTGCCCTATCTCCAATGAATTCTCACCACTACTGAACTCTATCATTTAAAAATCTTTGCTAATTTGATAGATGTAAGATGGTATCCCATTATTGTAATTGTCATTTCATTGATTACTAATGAGGTTGAACAACTGTTGATCAAATGTTCATTTGTTAGTCATTTGTGATATATTTTGTTTGGAAATTATCTGTTCATAAACTTGCTCATTTAAGCTGCTGTTTAACATTTAATTCAAATTACTTAATGTTTGTTGGTTTGTTTTTAGGAAAACTGGATCAGCTTACATAAGAAAGGTATTGCAACATAACAATCTTAAAGGATTTTTGTCTTCAATTATTACAGAAATTATAGATCCTTTTGCAATAGAAAGAATGAGAAACAGCTCTTCTTCATCTAGTTCCCTTTTCATTACTGATTTTGGAAATTTCTCCTATAAACTTACTCTTAATTTACAAAGTAAGTGTAATAATATAATACTTCTATGAGGGCTAGAAAACAATGAAAAAATTATCCTTTGGGAAGACAATTCATGCTCATTTATCAGGAGCAGTAGATTTCAAATTTTAGTCCAGCCAGCAGTCTACAGAAATCTATATATACTTAGGTTCTTGGAGGAATTATTCTTTTCTAATATAGTAAAACCTAGCTGTAAATTTACTGATATTTCATCAGTAGTAGCCTATCATTTATCCCTATGAGGTTATTTTGTCTTGAACAGTGCCCAGGAGAGGAAGTTTATATGGATTTGGCCTATCAAAAATCTAAATGCTTAGAGAAACACCAAAAATTAGTGTAAGAGAATATTTTTATTGTGAGTAGATACAGTTCAAATCGGGCAATGTCAACTCGAGTATCTGGAAGGCTCTTCAAATAGGGGATAGTGAAAGCGGGTTATATAGGTGTCAAAGAAGAAAATCCCACAGTCTGTTAGGAGTGAAAGAAAGAGTTTTATTGAAGAATGATACAGCTCAAGCTGGGCAGCTCTAAGTAAAAATACAAAGCACTCTGCCATTCAAGCAGAGAGAGGGGTCTATACATAGAAAACACAGGAAAAGTAGAGGGTTAAGGATTGATTATAGATAAGATCAGCTTCATCTTGAAGTCCTTTGAAATGTAAAGGTTGACCACTTGGCTAGGAGAGAGTGAGTTACCACTAGATGAGTGGCGCCATCTGGTTACATTATACATGATTGCAGTCATGAACACATTTTTCCTGGAAACAAACTGTTTACATCTTGACACATTCTTCCTATGAACAAATGGTTTATATCCTGACCTTTTGTATATATTTGGTTAATGTTTCTACATGGGCCATAACATCTTCAAGTCCTACTAGAGGCAAGAATACTGCCACTAGATGATCAATCCAAAGAAACACTTATCAAGACCATCAAGCTCTTAATATGGGTACATTAGCTGGTAGAGGGAGTTCAGTTAAAATACATCCTTGAGTCCAGCTCAGGCCCAGAGTGCATCTTCCAATCCAGCCTGGTGGGAGCCAGGGCCAAAAGTTGGTTCCATATAGCCAAAAGGTGTGTTAGAGACTGCTCAATAGATACCTGAGCTTCATAGCCATTCGGTGGCGAACCAATCAGTAGCTTGTAATGTTATAATTGATGCATGTTCAGACATTGGAAGCCATCCCATAGGTCTGGTGATGACAGGGTTATTCGTATGGGTGTAGTTAGATTGTTCCCAGCAAAGAAGAGCAACCTGACTTAGCCACCCCTTTGGGAAATTAACCAGATGAAACCATCCAATAGTTGTTGATATGGACCTACAGTAAGAAAAGTACTGTTTATGGGTTTGGAAGATTCTTTAGCTAGCTCTTCTTGGGTGACTTTATTTAGTAAAGTAAAGGTTGTGTTAAGACTAAAGGTTAAGTTACGGCCTGGATTTCATTCAAATCCGAAAAGAGGAAAACTTAGTAATAGTAATTACCTGCAGTAATGAACTATTTCTCCGTCGTTCTTGTATCCATAGATCAAGAGCAACCCAATCAGATCCCTATACAGGAGAGACCAACCAGGGAAGGCCAGACTGACTTGAGGTTGGGAGGGTAGCACATATCCAACAATTAAACCTTTTAAAGTGGTGAGCACAAGCATCTGCCCAATACGGGAAAACATTAGTAGAGGCATGACCGTAACAAAGGTAAAAAGAAAAAGAAGTGCATTTTCAGGCCTGGTCCAGGGTCTTGGGTCAGTATTCTGCCTCAGATGTTGTCTGCTTCTGGCTACCAGGGCATTTATATGTAACCTTCAATTCTCCAGTGGGTTGGCTAATAAAAAGAGGAGTCTTAGCCTTTTTTAACTGTGACAAATGGATCCAAGGTTTTATTCCCTCTAATTTGCACATGGATTGGTGAGGAGGACTAAGTATAGTCCCTTCCAACAAAGTTCTAATGAGTCTTTTAGTTGGTGCCTCTTCCAATATACATATTCTCCTAGGATGATGTCAGGCAGACTTTGAGGTCTAGTTTCTGTTTGTCAAAGGCTTCTCTAACCTTTGAAAGATATTCTTTGGAATATTGGATTAAAGACTGGCAATACTTCAGTAATTCAGGTTGAACAATGTTAGGGTCAGTGCAGGCAATATAAGGAAGGACCATGGGCCTCCCAGTAATTATTTCATAGGGGATAAGTTTGTAAGATCCAAATGGTGTGGATCTCAGATTTAAAAGAACTAAGGGAAAGACTTTAGCCCAGGAGAAATTTAAAGTTTCACAAAGCTTGTCTGTTTGGGTATTTATTTTCCATTAGTTCTCTCTACTAGACCAGAAGAATAAAGATGATAGGGACAATGTAGCATTTGATAAATGGGAAAACTTGACACAGTTCTTGGATGACACGGCTGATGAAATGAGTTCCCTGGTCACTACAAAGCGTTTTTGGTGCTTCCCAGGTGGATATGATGTTTTTGAGAAGTTTCTTTGCTACAAAGTCTGCAGTAGTACAATGGCAGGGGAAGGCTTCTACCCAATGTGAAAATCTGCACATCATTACTAATACATACTTATAACCATTTGAGGGTGGAAGCTGAATAAAATCTAGCTGCCATTCAAGCATAAGCCCAGGAGGTAAAGGGTATTGTCCAGGTAGGTCTTTAAAGTGTTTTCTGGGATTGTAGTGAGGGTAAATAGGGCAGTGGGTGGCAATAGGGCATGTTCAGCAGCCTTGAAAAATTTTCTCCACCAATATTGTTTTAAAATCTGAGTAATTTTATGTCATCCTATGTGGGAACCGTCATGTGAGGCTCACATCATAGAAACATGCAGAAAATTGGGTAAGACAGTTTTCTGATTAGGCCCAGTCCACAATTTAGCGGCAGAATCTTGGTAACAGCCTGCTTTTTCCATGCCTTAATTTCGTATGTTTGGGCTGATTGTTGGTGTTTTAAAAATTTTCCTAAAGTTAATTCATGAAGGTGGGAGTAATCAATAGACAAATTTGGGAAGTCCCTTTACTTATTATAAGTGCAGAAATAACTTGAGAAGCTGCTTTTTTGGCTGCCATATCAGCAAGATTATTTCCTCTAATTTCTTCAGTTTGGGGTACTCCTTTTGGTTGGTGAGCTTGTATTTTTATCAGCAATTTCAGAGAGGAATAATGGAGCACCTAGAAGGTCCACTACTAAAGCACCATTTTTTATGGCATTTATGTAAGAGGTTAAAAATCCTCTGTGTTTCCATAGCATGCCAAAATCATGTACAATTCCAAAACAATATCTAATGTCTGTAACAATATTAACAGATTTTCATGAAGCAATTGTACAAGCTCTAGTGACGGCAGCTAATTCAGCTTGTTGAACTGTAGTGACTTCAGGGACCAGACTTTCAAGGACTTCGGTAGAAGTCATAACAGCATATCCCGCCTGATACTGAGGACTAGCAGGATTAGGTTTTAAATATTAACCATCCATAAACAAAACTAAACCAGGATTAGTTGAAGGGGTCTCTTTTAAGTCTTTCCAAGGGGTTAAAAGTTGCTCAGTCACAGCCATCTAAGATACTCCACTGTTCTCACCCCTTCGGGAGCAAGGGAGAATGAAGAGAACAGGATACAAGGAAAAGATTCATCCAAAGAACTAATGAACAACAGCTACCAAGGCCTCCACCAGACTGAGTCCAGTACAGCTAGATGGTGCCCAGCTACCACCACAGACTGCTCTGACCAGGATCACAATAGAGGGTCCTGGACAGAGCTGGAAAAGGATGTAGAACAAAATTCTAACTCACAAAAAAAAAAAAAAAAAAAAAAAAAACACCAGATTTAGTGGCCTGACAGACTGGAGAAACCCCGAGAGTATGGCCCCAGGACACCCTTTTAGCTCAATGGTGAAGTCACTCCCGAAGTTCACCATTCAGCCAGGGACTGGACAGCCTCATATAACAAAACAGGACTAAATGAGGTACAGCCGCCCAGGGACAAGGACTAGTAGGCAGGAAGGGACAAGAAAGCTGGTGATAGGGAACCCAGGTTTGAGAAGAGACAGTGTTGACATGTCATGGGGTTGTTAACCATTGTCATAGGGCAATATGCATACTAACTGTTTAATGAGAAACTATTTGTTCTGCAAACCTTCATCTAAGGTACCAAAGATCAAATTGACAACAGCAACTCAAAAGGTTTGATGAGAATCTTAGGGAGCAGTGAGTTGAAGATAATGATGATGGAATACTTTGGAAAAGGATAGTGAGAATAGTAGCACAACTGGAAGAATGTAATCAATGTCACTGAATTGTACATGTAGAAACTTTTGAAATGGTGTAACTTTGGCTACGTATATTTTCACCAAAAAATAAATAAAAAGAAGGTCCTCCAAGGTCGAGAAGGGGAAGTGTTGACATGTCGTGGGGTTGTTAACCAATGTCATAAAACAATGTGTGTACTGTATGTTTAATGAGAAACTATTTGTTCTGTAAACCTTCATCTAAAGTACAATAAAAAAATACATATATTAAAAAAAAAAGTTGCTCAATCAAGTTTAGACAATCATGTGTAGGATAGTTGTTCTCATTAGTTGCAGAAAGAGTAGCTGGATTTAAACAGGTCAGAGTGTAGTCTAATGTTAGATGCAGCCAGGAGGAGAACTTCATAGGAGGTGAGCCTGCTGGCAGAAAGATGTTGTGTCAAGGCAGAATTAAGTTAGACAGACACAGCCTGGGGCACATAGACATCTGAAAATTTTCCTAGCCCCACATCTTTTGTAGTTTCCACTAGTCTGGCAGTAGCAGCCACAGCTGTAAAGCAGAGAGGGTATCTCCTTGCTACAGGGTCAAGCCACAGGCTCTAATAAACTATAGGTCTTTGTTGTCTTCCATGTTTTTGAGTTAGTATGCCTAAAGCATTTCCAGATACTTCATGTACAAGTAAGGAAAATTCTAGGTGGTAATTAGAAAAACCTAGAGCAGCCATGTTCATTAAAGCCCCTTTTAATTGAGCTATGGCCTCTCA